CTCATGAGTTTGTGAAGAACTGTGATCAGCCTGAGTTTGTCAATCATCATATCATTGAATCATTTGCACTGTTTTCCTCTTGTTTATAACTGTGATCTCCTGTATTTATATCACTATATTTCTCTTTTTTACTTATTTGTACACATGGCAAAGGAGAAATTCAATATGTCAACTGGACAAAAGTTTATTTGGTCAAATATGTTGCACAGCTCATCCAAGATGCTTCTTCAGTTCTGAAGAAGAACTGAACAGACCTGAAGAAGCAGTTTGGATGAGCTGTGGCCAAATAAACTTTTGTCCAGTTGACAAATTGAATTTCTCCTTTGCCATGGATTCTACCTGGAAAACTGAGGAATTTTTCACACTTAAATTTATAAAATGATGCCCTATTTAACAATCGGTTGTTAGTTTTTATTGCCACTTATTAAAACATTAAGATGTATTATCATTTTTATATTTTTTACTCTGTTTTACTGTAATATAATGTGAGCTATTGTGTCCAAGTCATTTAACTTGTGGATGAATAAAGTCTGTCTAAGTCTAAATCTAATCCATGTTGGTTTGAAAGTTTAGAATGCACAAAGACTGAAACAAATGTTCAAACCAAACATTTATGTCAGCACAAAATGCTTGCCTAACTGAATTTTGGAAACACCAGCCCTTCCTGTAATCCCTCTGTTGTTCAGGTTCTATTGCAAAAGAAAATGGGTTTCTGTCAATTGAACAAAAGTTTTTTAAGAGTGAATATGTTTCACAACTCAACCAAGAAGCTTCTTCAGTTCTGACAGGAGACTGGTAAATCACTAACTTATATCTGTCTGAAGGAAGGAGATAACTGCACTGAAACTAACACACTCTAGTTATATAGAGTAAGGAGCATATGTTATTAAAGTGTACTGAACTCGTCTAAGGTGTGAACTGTCACCTGAGTTAGATTTTACATGATCATACTCTGACTCTATTATTTTCTTTGTTTTAGTTTAGATAAGAGGATGGAGTGTGGAGATGTGTTTACCTACAAGTGCTGTGATTTTTTATTTATTTATTTTTTTCATGTAATTTTTTCTGCTACTAATTTAGAACTTATTATTACCATTTATATATTTTTTACTCTTTGTTATTATATTATATTGTGATGAGTGAGCTACTGTGTCAACATAATTTCCCTTGAGGATCAATAAAGTTTGTCTAAGTCTAATACTGCTTTTTTTTTGTTTGTTTGTTTATTGAATCAAAAAATGTGACATATCCCTTGGAGTAAAAATAACATTTGATATATATTTAATGATACAGAAGTGAATAAATTCTTCAGAATAATTAAAAGCCCGTGATCCCGGTCAGACGCAATATTCGCCGCTAACCTGATAGCATCACGGTTAGCATTAGCGTTAGCCTCGCGCGAGTGTGAAAGTTCTGTCGATGGCCGCATGACAGCCGCCAGCGCTCCACCATTGACTTGCCAATTCTAATCCAGATCTTAGCTGGTCATGTCAACAAGGCACGGATGGAAATTGACCGCGCGAAACTGGACAGACTCGACCGTGACGCTAATCCTCACAAGAATGTACCGCTATAGGTGAGGAAACGAGGAGACGAGGACGCGAGGCGAAGAGACGAAGATGGACGTTGAGGAGGGAAGCGCGTTTGGATGTACAGAATGATCGATGCATTTCAGACTAACAGACAGAGCAATTTAAAATGAAAATTAAATGCTGTAAATTTAGGGTTAGCAGGTCACCCACATTTGTTATTCAAGTTAAATTGGTAAAAAATAATCCAGAAATGTTGAATCAATTCAGAACAGTTGTTTCAGGTTTGAATCATTTTCATGACTCTTAGCGAGGACTAATATGATGTAGCTTAGTTTAGTTTACTAATTTATTGGTTTATTTTAATAGGGACCATCTGCAAACACTTTAATCTCATAAAAAAAGAGACGTTTTACACCACATTTAGCCATCTGCACTCCTTAACAACAACTACTATAATAGAAAAAACAGAAAAGCTTTAATAAAAATACATTGTGTGCATGTATTTATTATAATCTAACTGTCCATGCGGTTAAAAGTGAGAGTAAAAGTCTCTCTGTTAAGCAAAATATGAAAACAATAGGGATGTAACAGTAACCGAAATATCGTGATATTGTATCATCAAAGTTCTCACGATAATCTCCTGGGCCATCACAATATTGAATCAAGTTATGGTGCAGCAATAGCTAAAAAAAAGACAGAGTGAACTACATAGACTATGATCCTTTGCTCCATCTCAGTGCAGACTACAAGAAGAAATAACAGTTGTAAGCACTTTTAAGTCTTAGTTCTTTGGATTAAGTCTTGTCAAGGCATTTTAAGAAGAAAAAGTAGCATATTAGTCTCCACAAAATATCGCAATAAATTAGGGTGACCATATTTCTGTTTGTGAAAACCTGGACACCTTACCGGGAGCGGTGGGTGGGGCCTCGACGTTGAGCTACTCTCACCTCGCAACCTGTGCACATGGCCTCCCACTTGTCTCAGCTGGGATGGAAAACAGAACATTTCTTGTACAAGTCATTGTTAAATGTGCATTTGCGCTTCGGCATGTTGCAGGCTGACCGTCTGTTTGTGTCTGCTCGCTCCTTCTGAGTTACACAGAGCTACGAGAGCTGCTCAGTTTAATGACCCCAATGAAAGGAAATGAAAACCAGGACAGTTCCATCACTTAAAAAAAAAAAACCCGGACACCCAAGACAGGACGCAAAAAAACGGACATGTCCGGGGAAAAACGGACGTTTAGTCACCCTACAATAAATATCGTACTGAAAGATGTAGATCGTGAAAATACTGTACTGAAATATTTCGATATTGTTACATCCCTAATCATGAGCCTTCAGACCATATCATGAATTTTCCCACGATATCGCAATAAATATCGTACTGCGATGTTCATACCGTAACGATATCGTCTTGTGAGACTTGGATATCATTACACCCTAGAAAACAATAGTCATGCAAGTCCAATGAGGTTCATTTGGTCTTCTGATAATTTATGTTGTTAGTTTTTTTTTTCCAGACCAGGAGTTTGTTTTCATAGCTGATAGTTTGGACTGCTCACTAGCACTCTTCCTCAGATGGAGCAACATCATTGGGACAGAGGACAACAAACATCGTCACTGGATTAAAGAGGCAATCGAAATACGGATACGTGCCCTCAGGAATATAAACCGGATCTGTTACACGCTGCTGTTCTGACATGCCTCTATTTGGACATTGACGTCTAATTATCGGAGCAGCGGCATAAACATGATTTAAGTTTATTATTTAAGTGCATTTTTATACTGATAACGCTGAACCAACACAAGAGTCAGGACACAAGCACTGAGAGCTTTGTGTACACGTATTTGGTTTCATAACAACAGCTAGTTTAATTATTATTATTGTAGCACAGCGTTTTATTTAGATCATGCTTAATTCCAAAGGGTAAACAGTCTTCACTTTCAGCTCGAACCATTTTAAACAGATCTGAGCCTCGGTCTTGTCTCTCTGTGATGAGTTTGGAGATAATGACGAGTTCTCACATTAGCTTCTGTCATATAAATAAATATAAAAAGAGCCAGCCTTTTGAACAGCTCTTTCACACGAACGGGGCCAAAAGATTCGGATCCCACAAAAGAGTTGAAAGTTCCATCGCTAATCTAGTCTGTGGAAGTGATGCCAGGGTTTTCCCAAGAAACATGTCCAATAAGAAAGTGGATGTAAACCTGATGTAAACGCGAAGGTGCACTTTTACTATAGAGACGTGAGGTGGTGAGAGTGTTCTTGGTTTGGTTAAAACACAAACCTTCCATGACTATTTTATGTCCCGACACATCATAATTAGGGGTGTCAAATTATCGCGTTAATTGCAATTAATTAATTACAGTCATATTTAGTGCGTTATGTTTTTTAATCGCATTAATCTCATTTTTTAATCTCTAACTTTACTGTTTCTGTATGCGAGTTGCCTTATTATAAACTCTGTTTTTAAGTGTTAGGACAACAATACATCGCTCCCGCAAAGAATTGTAAGTTTCAGTCCCGTTCTCGTCCGCATCTGCGATAAACCTGCACATGTCTGATCTCTGAAAACATCGCGACACACACAGAACAGACTCACTATCATCACCATCAACATCCTCTGTCACAGAAAGAACATCTATATTCCACTGAGTCATGTCCTTTAGTCCGACAGAAGCTGAACCACATCAGCGCACAAGAGCGTTTTTTTTTTTTTTTTTTTTCTCTCCACTTAGTTTATGCAAATGAGACATGCAGTTTTAAGTTTTGTTTCTGTAAGACTTGCACAAAGCTGCATTAAACACATGATAATGTCAAACAGCTGATGTGGTTCTAGAGTGTTCATGGTTTATATATTGTAAAGTTGACTTTATTTATGCAAATTAGTAGTAGTAATAATAATATTGATACTGTGGAATATAAATGGCTGCATCTTTTAAAGTTTGTTAAACAATAAATGACTTTATAAAATCACTTTTTTGTTCTGTATCAATCTTTTGATCTGCCACAATAATGTAATAATGAATTTAAATGAAAATACCTGAAGTTGAAGGTATCAGCAATTTTTAGGTGAGATTAAAAAAGACATTAATTAGATTAATTAATTACAGATCAGAATTACTACAGAATTAATTAATCTCTAAATTTTTTTAATCTCTTGACAGCGTTAGTCATAATGCGTACACAGTACAGTAGGGATGCAACAATAACCAAAATATCGAGATATCATATCGTCAAAAGAACGACAAAAAAAAAAATTCAATTCTTTAAAAAAATGTGATCCGATTCCAACATTCACGTTAAGGAACCGTTCAGAAGCGTCAATTCATTCACAAACTAGACTAGACACAAGACTCCTGACCAAGATCTTCAGCATTTAGAGTGGACAACCTGTGGTCACCAGCTGCTCCAGATGCCCTCCCTTCACCCACGCTCCGCACTGACTCGTGTGTACTTTTGACTCACCCATGCGCCCGCTCATGTTTCCTCGTGAAGTGGAGATGCTGTCCAGGTCTAAGCTCTCGTACAGGGAGTGGGAGATGCGTCTCTCCTGACCGTCCAGCAGAGACCCGCCAGACACGTCGGACAGAGGAGGACTGACCGGGACGTCCTGAACACAAACAGAAATATGTTGTTTTTAATCATACATGATCTGTTTTTGCTCCTTTTTTTTCATAATAGTAATGCATTTGACCTGGAGTTGCGTTTTGTTTTATTCACACGTGTTTGAGTATTCCTTTATTATTAGTCTGTCTACATCTCCAAAGGTCAAAATGATGTGAAATAGTAATTACAAAAACAAACAGTAGGAATCAAACCACACAATTTTGATATAACATTGAACTGCACTAGTCACATCCACTACTGTTTGGAGAAAGAAAGAGACAGTCAGAAAGAAAGACAGACTATGAAAGAAAGAAAGAAAGAAAGGAACAAAGTTAGAGGGCACAACTCATCTTAAATCTGCAGGGTTTGTGTGTTAAACATGTGTGAATGAAACAAAACACAACTCCAGGTCTGTTTGTGATGAGGAAACAACATTAGAATCCGAAAATAGCGTAACATGGGCCCATTAAGATACTACTGAAGCCGCAACTGTCCCGGGGGCAGACTGAGGGATACATGACTGCCAATCTATACTGCTATAATAAAAACTGTCCCGACTCCAGACCGACTAGTGGCCGCTCCAGGTACTGTGGCTCTCAGGACCTTGGACTCAGAAAGAATTCTCCCATAGAGCGTAACCAAATGTCCCTATTTGTCCCAGTTTTATACAAGAAATGTCCCAGGTGTCCCCATTTTTGAACAATTTGATTGCTGTCAACAGTAAAGAGAGACACAAATTGTAATTTAAATGTGAAAATATGACTATACTGACTCACATGTTAGTCATGAATGGTGTCACACTTGTTTCACAATTCACAACCACCAAAAAAAAAAAAAAAACGTGAATGTTCCAGTTTTTTATTTTGAAATTCTGGTCACCCTAGCCTAAAAGAACGCTCCACGCCGTGCACCTTTAAAGACATCACACAGGTGGGAGGAGCTCGCCCGTATTGAGGAAGTAAGTGAGGAAGAGAAAATTGTTTTGGGGCCCAAGCACCAATGAGCACAGGCCACTGAAAACAATACGACGCCATCTTGGATTCACCTTCAGATTTGATTGTAGTTCTATGTTCCAAATAAAGAGCGACTCTAAATTCACTTTACTGCCATACTGTCTCTCCATGTAAAACTCTACGTACATGTATGAACAAGTATAAGTGTACCAGTGTCCCTCTTTAATCTGAAATCACTATAATATTGCTGAAGTGACGTTACCTTCATGTCCCTATAGTCGTGCTTCACTCCTTCAGCTTATATGAGGAGACAGAACTGTTTATCGGCTCATGTTAAACCCACAGAGCTGGACGCCTGCAGGGTTTAGTCTCACTGATGGAGGAGAAAAGCCCACTAAGCCTGCCTGGACATCACTCCCCCACTTCTGCTCTGGTACCACAATACAGAAAGTATCGAAAGTACCACAATACAGGAATTATTAATAGTACCACAATACAGGAAGTATCAATAGTACCACAATACAGGAAGTATCAATAGTACCACAATACAGGAAGTATCAATAGTACCACAATACAGGAAGTATCAATAGTACCACAATACAGGAAGTATCAATAGTACCACAATACAGGAAGTATCAATAGTACCACAATACAGGAAGTATCAATAGTACCACAATACAGGAAGTAACTGCATCTTCAGATTTATAAGTTCAAGGTGCACTGTGGAACATTTCTGGTAGCGGGTCCACCACCTGTTTGTCTTTGTGGGAATGTTACTGCTTTGTCTAGAATGTTCCAGATATGACAACGACAGGTTACATTACAGGTGAGATCTGTGGAGAGGCGACCCCATTCACAGAGAGAATGATTGTGTTTTTGAGCAACAAAAACACTTGTAATGCATAAAAGCTTGATAGATGTGTTTAAACCTTTCCAGACCGACATGATCATATACAAAATCTGGGAATGTTTTATATAACTGCACTTAACGTACCAACCATATAAGATAGAAGCTTTTCCTTGAAAAGCTGAGAGTTGCTAACCTGATTCATCAGCCAGTTTCACTTCGTGGAAACCGTCTGACCTCGCAGCATTAGGATTCGTTTTCTCGACGGTAGGCGGGTACGTTTTTTTTATTTAAACAATCACTGCTATTTGGTGGTGACGTATGTAACGCGCCGCTAACGGAGCTAACTGGTATATTAAGCTTTTCCCAAATCCCGCAGGAAGAAGGACAATAACGTCTTTCCCTTTGATAAAATTCACCAAACATTCTCTTTATTCCGGCTTTAAATCCTCGATCTCGGGAATCGTTGCCAATACAGAATGTATTGCTCTTTGCTGATTGGCTGGTGCCCAAACTCACACTTCTGGGGTTTTTCCGAACCATGTAGTGTGTTCTGATTCCTGATCTAGTCACTGGAGAGAAATGAAATTGAGCAGAGGTACTAGGAACTTTGTTTTCCACCAAACGCATGCGCTCCGTGCATTTTGAGCGGCGCAAACTTTGCCAAAGAGTGTAGTGAATCAAAATGTTTGACTGCTCTGAGCGTTTGTGTTCGTAACAATTAAAAAAGCTGCTCTAGGTGCAGTTATTTCTCAAATAAAAGGAAAATTATGCATCTTGGTCTAAGTGTCCATTGCTGTTTTTATCTGAAAGGTTTATTTAACTCCAAATGTACAAATAGCATAATTGCCTAAGTCATTTTTTGGCCAAATGGTGATATCTGCCTAACTTTACTTTCCTACCACTGCTGCATCACCCTGTCTTATTACTATGTCCTCAGCCTATCAGAACACTTGTTAGAGTCTAAAATCACTGTCTGCCTTTGTCATCTTTATACAACATCAATAAAAAATACCATTGTGCTTGCTAAAAAATGAGCTTTTTCTTGTTTTCCGAAAACGTTCAAATATGAGTTGGGCAACTATGCTATTAGGCTAACGAAATGTAATAAACCCCATGGAAATGCAGGAAGTGATGTGGCTCTGTGCCCTGGACCTGACACCAGCTGTTTCCATGACTGATGGGGCCATTGCACTTTTTTTTTGTTTTTTGTTTGAGGCAATAAGGAGATTTTGAGTTTACTTACAGACTTGATATTGTGCACTTTTGTAGCTACGGCCCTAAATTAAGCATTTTTATGTCCAAAAGGTTGTTCATACATATTTGATGTGTGTTTTGTATGAAAGAGGTTGTACTGGGAAAAAAGAGTATAACACTTCATTAGGGGTAAAAGGGGCAGTTTTAATATTAAAAAAAAAAAAAAAAAAAAGGTGAGGACAAAAGTACTTAAGACTGGAAGGCTTTAAAGCCATACCATGGAACATTCCAGGGATCTCCATGGAGACAAGCAAATGACAGATTTTCCACCAGAAAAGTTGCACAATGCATTCTTCACTTAAAGGGCCCATCCCATGTAAAATAACTCTTTTCACATTGTATCTTCTGCACATAAACAAGCACAATTTGGGTTTTGGAACATCCATTACACAATAGTTATGAAATCTTATTGATTTCTTGGAGACAGTCACAGACCAGGAACTATGAAAGACCGACTATTGCTCATCCCCTCACTCGTCCTGAGAAAACACAGGCTCCACCTTCCAAACGTGACATAGGCGACGAGTGAGCCGCCCTTCCTCCGTCCATCTCAGGGAGGGAGGGGGAGACAGACGTGCACCCTGATAGTGGTAGGAATAAACTTTTATTCATCATGGAGATACAGCGCGTTCAGCCGCATGTGTTGGACCCGGAATCGGACGAAGACTTAGAGGTGCACGAAGCTCAAGCACCGCGTCCACATCAGCTGAACATTACTGATTCTGGTAAAGTATTAATAAACACTAGTAGATAAACTTATTACATCGTGTTCACTGCAGTGTAGAACAATGAGCTTATGCTGTCACTTTTGTTTAAGTGTTCATGTGGGAATTGTCAGTCGATGCGGGGTGGAGGTGGAACGAGGGAGGGGGCGGGTGGGTGTGAAGTGCTTTCTGCTACGTCAAACGCGTCATAGGTGTAGCTGCGGCGTCATCGTTGTAGCAGCTTTAGTTCGTTGTCACGTGGGAGGGTGGCAGAAATACACTGCAGTTTGTTAAAAAAAACTAATCTAAAAACCATTTGGGCGACAAATCCAAGGCCCACACATCACTCTTAGAGGGCAGAAAGCTCTGAAAAGTTGATTTTGCATGAGATGGGCCCTTTAAGACTATGTTTGTGCAAATAACCATAAAGATAAAATTACAAGGTTGCTCTCTGCATTTTGAGCAAATTACACAAAATATTCAGCTTTAAGTCATGTTATAATGTTGTTACATCCTCAAAAATACACCTGGAGTTGTGTTTTATTTCATTCACATGTTTAACACAGAAAAACGTGGGAACATGGGCCAAAAATAAACCTAAACAACTCTTGAGAACGTGTATAGAAAGTATTCAGGAACACAAGTATATAAAAAAAGTGAAATTAATTCAGTTTAAACAAAAACATAATTCTAAGGGGACGATCTATAAATTGTGTGTACTGTTTTTTGTTGTTGTATTTTTCAAAGTCTTCCAAAAGATGTATCAGTGCACCAACATTTACTGAATCAATACTTGCATAAAACAGACATACACAGGTTTTAAAAAGAAGAGGAAGAACGAGGGATCGATGTAACTCAATGGATAAGAAAAAAAAGAAAAAGAAAGAAAGAAAAAACAAGTTAATGTGTGTTTTGTATTTGATAAAATTGCCAAGGCCATGTTTAACGCTTTCTTCGATTTTTTGTTTTTCAAATTACAATTAAAGATGTAATAATTTAGTGTTATTTACTCAAAGGTTGTCGTGTTTTTGTTTTTTTTCCTACATATATAAAGAAAAGATGTAAATGTAACAGTAAGTGGAGGTAAAGAACTAAGAGATGTTTTGAAAATATCTAATCTTTCCCTCTCTCTCCATCTCTTTCTCCTCTCTCCCTCACTCCTCTTCCTTCTCTCTTCTCTCCTCTCTCTTCTCTTCCTTTTCTCCTCTCTATCCATTCTCGCTCCTCCTCCTTCTCTCCTCTG